GCGCCGGGGGTCGAGGCAGTGCTGGGAAACGAGGACAGGTGGTACACGAGGAAAGGAAGTCCGAGAGTGGCTGCCTTTGCCGGCTCTAATTTTAAAGCGTGGTCGCTACTCTCTTAATTAGCTTTCCACATATTTCCTCATCCTAGCCTATTGAGACTGTCAGTTTCTGTGGTCATTTGAGAACTAGTGAAGTATTGACATGAGCAGAGGGGAAACTGAGTATTGTTTACGGAGATGGACTTCTAGATGAGTTGTCTAAAATCTATTTGTTTTTGGTTCCCTGTCAGGGGCGATGCGTACCGGAAGACAATTAGGAGCAGCAAGTATTCTCTCAGTGCCAGAAGCCCTGGGAAAGTGCGCCTGACATGAAGACTTGTGTCAGTGCCAAGACGGACGGGGGCGCGTGAGCTATCCGAGTGCAGATATTGAAACCAGGGCAAGGACGTGAGAGAGGGAAGATAATCTCGATGCAGAGCGCGGCTTGTAGCAATGTAGCAAAGTAACTTTAATCTGTAAACACAGCTGTATTCTCACATAATAAGGTGTATGTTCTCACATAATAAGGTATATAAGAGAGGATGGAATATGAAATAAACAATCTTGCTTCACTACACGCAAGGTTCGTGCCTTCAATCCCCACAGTTCCCCTCCTTTTTGCTAATTGTTCTATGCTTGGGAGGTCTAATATAATTGAGGCCTTTGTTTAAAGCTTCAATGTTTTCTTTGATTAAGCTGTTTAAAGCTCTCAGGGCTCGTTCTGTGTGATTGATGGAGTCTCTTCCAGGATCCCCAACAAAATATGATGAGAGTTGGTGTTGCTTATATCTCAAATTCAGACTAAGTGACAAAATGTAAAATTTTTTCAGGGCTGCTTCACCTGTCATGAATTTGTGAAAGCATAAAATCAGTTAGAAATAATTACTCAGTGCAGTTAGTTTAAAAATTATATTCCAGACTGGAATTGCTTAATATTGCTGTGGTAATCTAGATATTACTTTCAGCTGAAGAAGTCTGAGGAAATACACTCATTTTCACAAATTTGTTTTGATATACTTTGTGCACATAACAAAGTTGTGTGGTCAGTTTTTACAGTTCCCACTTTTTAGTGCCTTTCACACAGCAGTGGGAAGAAATGCATATTTCTACTAGTGCAAGACATCAAAAAATTAAATTGTGATACTTACTTTTCTTGTAAAGGAGGATTTTTTTTGAGATTGTTTTCTGTTTTATTTCCACATTGACTGTGCATGTTTTCTTATGGCTCTCTACTCCTACAGTTTTGCTGTCCTTAGCTTTTGAGGACTTATAACCTACAAGTTGAGGGAAAACTGTGAATAAGAAAACAATTTTTCGTAAGACTTTTTAGGAATAAGGTTTTTGGGCTGGTTGTACTTAACAGTAGCTGTTTAAATGAAATCAAATTTGTTTGTTTCCATTTCTCCCCTGATTATTGAAAAAAACCCTCACATTTATTCCTATGAAGCATTTTTTGTAACTTGTTCATAATGTGCAGTGTCTCTGATACAGATTTAAAGGTGCAATATCATGGTTATGAAAGCTTTGGTAGAAGATGGTGATTCAGGATGGGAACTCAGTATACCTGACAAGATGAAAAAGAGTAATACAAGCTGGATAGATATAACTCAGGATTTTGAAGAGCCTTGTAGAGGTGAGTTGTACTACTTGCATTTTGAGAAAATTGGAATCCTTTGGAGGACTGAGCAGAGATGTTGAGATCTTTTAGGCAAAAGTTTGACCCTGGTTCAAGCTCCACTTGAATGGACCACATTGATTCTGGGTTTGCCTGTGTTAAATTACTGTGAGATTGGGAATATCAGAAGAGCAACACCTTGCTTCCTCTTCCAGATTAGATAAATATCCTACTTTTAGTAAAGTTGTGCTTTTTTTTTCCTTGTGCTTTTTTCCATTCTGGTTTTCTTTTCTTTGCAAAGATTTTCCCCCCTCTCTTCCCCTAAATGGAAACCTCATTCATCCATGCAGAATCAGCAATCTACTTTTTCTGTAACTTTTTTGGATCTGTAGGACCCAATGCTTTGTTCATTTAATTGGTCAGTGCATCATTTTTCATCTTTGAAGCAAAGCTGAGCTTCTGAGGAGATGATATGCATCCAAGTCACTGGGAAACAGTTGCTTTCCTTTAAACAGTGCCTTTACTAACTAATGTTGTTATTAGTTATTACTTAGTGTTAGTTTATTCTGACAGTTACCACACACAGTAAGTTACACAATAAACACAATTCCCTATACCACTGAAGGATTCCCTTATATTAATGATTTATGGTTTGTATACCCATGAAGTACGTCTAAATGCTCCATGAAAAACAATGAGGAAAAGCAAGCTTTTCAATAAACATCTCCCCTGGAAAAAAGTAGATGTCTGCATAAAGGAGCCTGAAAACTGCTGTCCTGTGTTCCAGGCTATTCAGATGCTACTGTTTGGTAATTTTAAAACTTCAACTGCTGGAATAATGGAGAGGGCAGAGGAAAGACTGTGAAGAACTGGTTTTTAGTCTTTCAATTTTGAAAGTGCTTTAAGAAAAAGCAAATAAAGGTGGAGTAGAAATGCCTGGCCTGCTTCCCACATCTTGTGCTCTTCTAGCATAAGACAGTTTGGTGAGCAATATGACTTATCTTGGAAAAGTTGCTTTAGAAGGATGATTGTAATTATTTATCCTGTTCTGTTCCTTTGTAAAACTGAAATTAGGAGAACTCCTTCGTGACAAGCTGTAAGTACGCTATTGGGATAGTTCTGCTTTTTAGATAGGATTAGTGTGTATGTACTAATGCTTACTAATGAACAAGTCATTGAGTACCAACTAAGCTTTTTTTAAACATCTATTTTAAATAAAACAGCTAAAACAAAGTAATTCAGAATAACACTCATCCTTAGCAGTACATATATGATGCAGCTGTATGAATGCTGAACATTTTTTGTAGTGCCAGTATGATTGCATTTTCAGTTAATAGTTTTAATACAAACGTTAGAATTTTATAGTACATCTAATCATCA